CACACACACACACACACACACACACACACAAGCATTTCTGTGTCCTATTTTTTCTGTCGTTCTTTCTTCTATTTTTCTTACTTTTTGCCTGGTGAAACGAGCACATCTAAGCAGTGCCAAATGGTCGGTCATTCCTCGTTTGGAATGCCTCCAACACTATTGGGTGGGAGTCTGCAGGGTTCACTTGTGGTATGAGTAGGTGATGTACTGCTTTGCTCCGTGTTGGATGTGCACTGCATTGCCTATCCTCCGCGGCTGTCTTTCTGCCCATCCTGCTTCCTCCACATGTCGTTCTTTGAAGCTGGGGTGTTGCCGTGTAGTTTGGTTGTGCTGTTGGTGGTTCCTTGTGCTTCGCTGAGTTGTTGCCTTGCTGCCCATCCGCGTGCCTTTGCCTTCCTTTGGCAGTGTCACATTGTGCTTCGCTCAGCTCGCTGTGTTGTTGCCATGCTGGCCATCCGCTTGTGCCATCGTTCCATCCAATTAGCTTTGACGTTGTGCAGTTGGGTCACCCCGGCAGTGTTGCCTCGTACCTCGCTGAGCCATTGACTGGTGCTATATTCCGCTTGTGGTGCTGTCTGCTGGAAGTCCGCTTTCAAACAAGGTAAAAGGGTTCATGACCCAAAATCCCAAGGCATCAAAAATTGGGATTCCACAGGATTGTCGAGGATTCAGCCTCCTGATCAGTTGGTGAAGGTCCAACGAAACAGTCTGCAATCATCAGTTTTTTTGGTGCAAGTCCAACAAAACAGTCTGTCATCATCAGTTCCCCCCACCCACCCCACCACCCCTCCCCCTTTTCTTTCTTTGTTTTAAGGAAGGGCAACAGCCTTGAGATATGATAATTGAACTGACTGGCCTCAGGTAATTCAGAGTTACTTAGTTTCGTTCATTTGGTCATATCTGGAGTCGAGCTTGTGTCTGTATTTCAACAGTTGATGCATGTACCAAATGAGCTACTACCGGTAGGCTCCTGATGCTTTCGCCTCCTGCCCCATGAGGTTAGGTCTTGCCATTCGCCTGACTTGTTGGAATGTGCGTGTGGCCGTGTCATGTGCTCCATCCGCCTGACCTCAGGATTCTACACATGCATGACGGATCGTGTTGCCTTGTGATTGCGCTACGTTTTCCGTTTTGTTTTTCTCCTTCCTTCTTTTCCCCTTAAAAGGGCAACTGCCTTGAGTAATAATCGTTGAGCTGACCGGACCCAGGTAACTCAGAATGTTGTTATTATGGTCATCTGGTGGAAGCTGGATTTGAACTGGGGTCTGTATTTCAACAGTTCATGGGTGTACCAGCTGAGCTCGGCCCATTGGTTCCACTATGTTTTGGTTTGGGGCTATGAGGGGTATTGTCCTGTGTCTGTTGGGTTTGCCTGTGTGGCGTTCTTTTGGTWTGTCATCGTCAGGTTTTTTTTTTTTTTTTTTTTTTTTTTTTTGACAAGAAMAGAACCTTATGGCTCTGGCTCCTTTTCCATTCTGGGGAGCATCAGTCCGGTTCCTATTCCATCGGCAAGTCACAAGAATTACATCAAGTACTCACCCACGCTCTTCCCCTTTACGGTAGGAAAGCCCAAGGGACGGCATTGATTACTTCCTGTCCAAAGGATGTACCCCCCCTTACGCCTGCCTAAGTTAACCTGGTCTACTGTACTCTCTTTCTTAGTGCTGAACGAACTCCCGGTATTGTGCACTCTGTAGGCTTGCTTAGCAGGGCCTCGTCCAGCCTATTCCTCTCGGTTCTTTGACTGTCAAACTTTCCTTGATTACCAAACTGCTGACTTTGCCTTCTATAGAATCGCTTACATGAACCCTAGATTCTCTCTGGTTGAGTTGCCGTTGCTCCTGTCTAAAGATAAGTCCTATACTTTTCTCTCTTCCCCTTGCATCCTATCTTTTAAGACGATTGAGTAAAGACTGGTTTAGTCTATTCGTCCCTAATTTTTAGCTGCTTTATTTGCTGTAGGCGTTGGAGCTGTCGACTTGGTTGTTTGTTGCAGGATTGGCTAAAACCCTAAACCCTAGCCAGTGCTTTCGCCGGACCACTCTTGCCTAGATTAGCCTGATCCCGATCAACTGGGTTCTAAGACTTGGCAATGCCCAGTATTGTGGTCCTTGTGTACTTGCTTAAGGCGTTGTCTGACTTGTTCCTCTCAGTTCCTTGACTGTCAGGTTCTCTTTAAGTGCCAGAACTTCAGACTCAGTCCTCTTAAGTACTCCTCGATAGATCCTGAGCCTCCTCAGGCCCAGGTACTACTTTCCGTGTCTAGGGTTAAACCCTATCCTCCTTTTTTACTTTACTCCTCTGTGTTCTCTACCTGGTACCTAAACCCTAAACCCTAGGTGATTTATCTGACCTGCTCGGAGCCCTTTTAATACATCCTATGGTTTTAGGCTTAAACTAGTTCCTTTTATCTAATGGGAGTCTAGTTCAATCTTCTGTTTTTCCTTCGGGATGCTATGGGCTTGCTGTTTGGACGTCCGTCGAAAAGAGGCGAGGCTGCCACGCAGGCAGCTGCGTGCACCGGCCCCCATGCCTTTTGCCGAAAAAAAACGTGACGAAAACAAAAGAGAAAAAAGCCCGCGGCAGCGGGAAACGACAAAAACAAAAGGAAAAAAAAAAGGCCGCGGCAGGGGGAAACGACAGACTGCGACGAAAACAAAAGGGAAAAAAAAAGGCCGCGGCACCAGGAAACGACAAACTGCGAAGGGGAACGAAAATCAACAAAAGAAAAAAAAAGGCGGAAAACAACGACCGAAAAACAGAAGAAAAAAAAAAAGCCGCCTTGCCCGCTTATCAGACGGCGGGCGCGTCGAGATATTCATCCGCATCGACACCCACCGTGTACCCGGCCCCGTGGGTGCTCTCTCTCGTTTACTGGCGCGCTGTGAACAATTCGGTACGCGCGCCACTCTGCACGCCCACCCGCCCTCGATCGCCTTCATCCGCCGGCCCGCACTGAAACTTCGACCCGATTCCGGCGCGCAGCGGACCATCGACCTCCCCCCCACTGCCAATGCTGCTTAAGGGGTAGGATTAAACAAATAATCAGGTTTATCAAAAGCTCTTTTTTTTTTTTTTTTAACCCTTACCTTTATTACAAATGAGAGCACATAGGTACGAGGCCGGGGACCTCACAATTCAACCCGGAGTTATCCTGGCAGCCTTAGCCAGTTTCGCTTATGAGCCAGTTACTCTAATCTCTGTGCCTGACTTCACAGACCAGGGGAAATTCTAAAAATGTTCCCAAGGAGATAACCAAACTTCCCTCTGAGTCTCCAGTACTATCTTCCTATTAGGACTGTTCTACTCTGAGCTATTCACTCCTTTTATCATTTCAACAAGCAGGATTTATTTAATTCCAATTCCTTCCTCCATGCTATCATACTGGCACTGTCTTCTCTGCATCTCCTGTCTCAACCTTATCTATTATCTCTGCCGTACGAGTTCTACAACTATACCGGTGCTCTCATTTCCATTACTCCTACTTAATACCTTCCCTACCTTATCATTCTAAGCACAACTCCTCCTCTGTTTGACCTCCGTCTACCGCTACCACTAAAGCTAAACACTACCAACTAAACCAACTAAACCAGGCCTACCTGCGGCCTGTATACCAGCCCAAAAACTCGGCTGGGTGGAACCTGCGTTCCTGATCGGGCGTGACACTCTCCACCCTCCTTCCCACTGCGGTGCCTCCTGCGGCTCAAACCAAATTATGAGGGAACCGAGTGTCCTGGTTCCAGAAGCAACTGTTTACCTTCTAACCGTTTCTCACTTTCGTTCCCTTCAGCCTTACCTCCCATTGTCCCTGATCCACGGAGACAGCACTAGGCCTCGGGTTCTATGTACTGCCGCGAGCTTGAAGTTGATGGTCCATGTGTCCATGAACCACCTCACCTGTCTTCTGCTTCCTTTTCCTGCCTTCGCTTTTTTCTTCCAGTCCACCCTGATTGCGTCCCTCAGCCCTTGCTTTATAAGATGTTTGATTTCCATATCCGAAAGGGGTCTTTTCTGAAAACGTGCTCTGTTCCTGTCCTTCCAGATGATTTCGCAGAGCAGGCCCCTCACTGCATGTGCCACATACCCCCAACCTCGCTTTCCTTGACAGTTTTCTGGTAAGAATCCCAACAGCACCCACCTTTCATCCCATTTTATTGCAGGATCCGCAAAATTCTGCCAGTGTTGTTCCCACCACCTCCAAATCCTTTTGGAGGCTGGGCACTCCCACCAAAGATGCTTAGTCGACTCAAAAGGCCAACTGCATCTTGAACATTTCAGTTCCACTGTCATTCCCTTCCCTGCAAGCCATACCGCTGAGGGCGTGACCATCAGTGAAAGCATCCACAGGATACTAACTTGTTTACCATTCGGAAGATGTGTTAAGGTCTCCCACAGAGTAGCGAACATTGGAGCAGCAGCAGACAAATCCTCTGTAGAAATTGTTTGCCACCTGCTTACAGCAACTTCTGCTGGGGTCCTCTGCTTGGACCGTTGTTGCCTCATTTGATAGCCTGTTGCCACTGTGTATTCCGCTATGCTTACGGTTGTATGGCGCGCCTCGCCAATTGACCAACTCCAGGCCAATGGGTCTATACATAGCTTCCTCAAAGTTGTTTGGCCTACCTAAGTCGGCATTCGATTCGTTGCTGACCCTCTGGACGCTAATGTAATACGTGCCTGTGGGGGATCGTTCCACCTCATGATGACTCTTGTTTCCACAAAGGACAGTCTGTTGGTGTGCTGGTCGCAGCGCCATTCCTCCATCTTTCTAAACCCACTTGGTGTGATTTCTACCAATTTCCAGATCTTTTCTCCCTCCTCACTTTCTGCTACGTACCAAGTCCCAAGCGGATCCACTCCGTTTGGGCCCAGTACTTGTTTCCAGTCTTCCGGGATACCTGCCAGCAACTGCCTCCAATGGTCCTCAATGTTCCTAAGACCTCTTAACTCTCCCTTTACCTCTGCCAATGGGCGCCAAGTCCCTAACAGGTCAGACCACAGATCCCCAATCCTTACTATCCCTCTTCTGATCCATGATTGCCCGAAGGAGCCCGTGGATCCGTCCGCTGCAAAGGTTTCATTCCCTCCTTTCACGATCCGCGGATTTTCAAACAAAATCTGTGCCTTTATTTCCTCCTTGGTTTTGGGTGGGGTGCTCACGTCAGGGGGTAGCTTGTTCCATGCTCGTAGCACCTCTCTCCAGAATCTTGATCTCAGCCTTTTCTTCCTGTAGGATGGGATAAATATGCAGGCCCACACGTCTTGGGGCCGGTGTAGCTCCCACTCACCCATCAGAAYCTGTTCYGCAAGCTCCACCCACTGTTCTTTGGACGGGGCTGTCGCAATCTTGTTGACCCAATTACATAGCTGTGCTTGATTCTTCTTTGCTGGGTCGACCAAACCCAATCCTCCCTGAGATCTCGAAAAGGTCAACAGATCCCAGGCCACTTTCACCAGGAAACCTTCTCCATTCTGTGCTCTTGGTTTCCACAGAAAGCGTGCTACCAGTCTCTTTATAGCCTGCAGAATTCCCGCCGTCACTTCTCTTACTGTGCAGACAAACCAAAGGATGGAAAACAGTGCAGTATTGGACACTAGTACTCTACCAATAATTGACAGGTGCCAAAGCATTCTCCATGTTCTTAATCTGACCGCCATGCGCTGCTGTAACAGCAGTCCTTATGCTGAACTCTCTACCTGCAGACTAATAAGGACTCCCAAGAACCGTTCTTCCTCCCCTACCTCGACCCTCCGCATTCCCCAATGCACCGCTGGTGCGTAGTCTCTAGGTAGGAGGAACGTTGATTTGTTCCAGTTGACTGTAGCTTCAGAGAGAAAAGAGTACTCTGTCAATGCTCCTTTCAGTGCGTTCATTGATGATGGCGTATTCTCGCTGACACCTTGCATTCTGATCCACTGTGGAGCCTCAATCCTTTGATAAGAGGGTTACGTCGGATTCTGTTGAGGAGAACCTCCATCTGCAATACGAACAGCAAGGGAGCAAGGGGACACCCCTGTCGCAGCGAGCGAGTGAGCTTGAAAGGAGTGGATAAGTGGCCGTTGATCATGACTGCTGAAGTCGAGAGGGTGTACATCATCACTGTCCACTTGCAGAAATTAGCACCGAATCCCATTCTTTTCAATGTCGTCAACACGAAAGGCCATCCCACCTTATCATACGCTTTCTCCAAATCTAGCAGCAGGGTCGCCGAGTCCAAGTTCTCCGACTGAATTACTTCCAGAACTTCAATTGTTGTGATGATATTGTTGTAGATTGACCGTCCTTGTACGAAGGCGCCCTGATTGGCAGCCACTAAGCCCGGTAAGTGCTTCCCCGACCTTCAAGCAAGTGATTTTGCTAGAATTTTATAAGACACATTCAAGAGGGAAATAGGGCGCCAGTTCTTGACATCTGCCTTATCATCTCCCTTCTTGAAGAGAACTGCAATAACTCCATGGGTCATTCCCTTGCCGAGTTTTCCACCCTCCAACACTTTGTTGTAGACTTCGACTAGTCCATCCCTCACTGCTTCCCAATTGCTGATGTAGAACTCCACCGTGAGTCCGTCGATTCCCGGAGACTTGCCTTTAGCCATGCTCTTGAGTGTTTGTGTGACTTCCTCTACTGTCAGTGGTCTGTCCAAATCCAATCTGGCTGTAGTAGATAGGCTCACTGTTGTGTCTTGCCACATGTCTGACTGTTCGGTGAGGTCTGTGATCGGATCCTGAGGCCGTCTAGTTGTAAGCACATCTTCGTAATAGAGCTTGGCGTAATGAAGCATTCCAGCTGTTGAACAAGCGGTCGGTGCTGAGCTGTCAAAGGGGTGCCGCAACTCCACCATCTGCTGTTGCGTCCTTCGCGGCTGCAGCTTGTGGAAGGTCTCCTTCGTCACCTGATCATGAGTTTCTATACCCTTTTCCCTTAGTAGGTCAGACCACCTCTTGTGTTTATCCTGTTGGATCTCGTCCCATTCTGCCACCCGCCGTTCCCTTTCAGCTGCCCATACCATGGCCGAGATGGGGTGCCCCTCCATCTTTTCCTCCGCTTCTTCGACCCTTCGTCTACATTCTGCCTCCCTCACGTTTCTAGCTCTGGCCAAAATTATGGAGCATACATCCATTATTCCGGAAGCGATGGATAGACCCCCATCCAACCAATCTTCCCTGTTTTCAMAATACTGTCTTGCATCATTCCATCTCTCCATGTGATCCTTAACCCACTCCCCTATTCCCGGATCCTCTAACACCTGCTTATTCAGTCTGAAAAAGCCCCTCCCTCTTTCTCTCCCTTCCTACAGTCTGATGTCCGCCACCACCGACTTGTGATCGGACAGTGGGTTACAAAAATGCCGTACTGCCGTGACGCTGTGTGCCACGCTTTCACTTACTAAGAAATAATCCAAGCGTCTTCTTGTAACCTCTTGTCCGTCATGATGTATGTGTGAAAACCATGTGTATCCCGCGTCCGTTGGGTTGAGTAGCCGGAAGGGATCTGTTAAGGCCAATTCTTTTGTGAGGTCCAGCAGTTCCTGTACATCTTGCTTCATTGTTGTTGCTGAACCAGGTCGGAGAGCCTCATCAAGTGACCGGTTCCAGTCTCCTGCCAACACCAACCTGTCCACCTTTGGAATATGTGTTGCTAGAGATTTGAAGAAGGATGCTCTTTCTCCCGCAGCAGTCGGTGCATACACAATCATTAAGAGGTAGTCTTCGTTCCCTGCTTCCACTCGCATCCAGGCCCACCTCCCCCAAATGTCGGTCTCCGAGTCTATCACTCTTACTTGTAGATCCCGGTGCAGTAGGATACATACCCCACCCCGAGATCCCTGTGCCGGTGCCCAGACCTGCGGGCCTTCCCACCACTGGCCAAGTTGTCTGATCTTTTCCTCTCCAAGCTGTGTCTCCTGAAGCATTATGCAATTCACCTTCCATTCATGAGCCCATGATTTCAACCTCCTGCGCTTGAAGCGACCACCGGTGTCCCCCAGGCCTCTTATGTTCCAAGATGCCGCTTTAAGTTTGTCCATCAGCACCTATTGCTTCCGCTATGCTTTGGATGCGGGTTTGGTCTTCGGTGTTTTGCGGTGTTGAGCGAGAGCGAGATGAGCGAGACATATCCCTGGTGCTACCTCTCACTGAGTTTGATTCTGAACCCAGTCCCCATTCCTTCGTCAGAGCCTCTGCTAGGAACTGGGAGTGCAAATTCTCCTCCCTTTCCAACTTCTCATTCATGTTCAACAATACTAGTGCAGAAATATCCGGAAGGATTTTAATCTGGCACAGCTCTTCTACATGCTGGTCCCCCACTTTACTCATGTGTACCCACCGTACTCCGGCGCTGGTCAGCATGTCAGCAATCTCTGGAGGAATTCTGGCATCTAAAATTGGAAAATATAACTTGTAGTAGGACTGACTTGATTCCACTATTAGGCTTATCATGGAGGAGCGGGGAATGATTCTAATGGGGACATGGTTTCCGTATAGTGATCTAGTGTGAGCCATGATCTCTAACGGTGTAGGTGAGTGCGATATGTCCATTGAAGGAATGTACGGGGAGCCATCTGGGTTGGCTAAGCCCAGAAAATACACGCCATCAGTGGCCATTGTGCACAACAAAGGTACTATTCTTCTTTGTACTGAGCTAGCCTGGCTCCTGTCTATGGTGTCAGCTCTCCTTTCTCTACCTCTGTATCGATCCTCCCTTCTGTCCCCATCTCCTGTTCTCTCTTCTGGATTCTTGGACGCCCCCGAGCTCCTCATTGAAAATCGGTCATCCTCATTGTTGGCACCTGAGTGACGTTCTTCCTCATACCATTCGCTTCCCCACCTTACGCGAGATTGAGAAGAGGCAACGGACTTCGATAGGTCTTCCAAGTTTCTCTCTGTCATTTCCTGTCTGCCTCTTGTATGTGGCCCATTCGGATCATGTTCTTCTGATTGTCCTCCTCTCGATTGTTTTGCCCTTCTCCTCCTGTAACTTCCAGTTGCCTCTTCGCCAGTCCCTCCATTCCCTCCATTCCCTCCATTTCCTCCACGCCAACTACTTCTCCGCCTCTCAATTTCGCTTGTTCCCCTTCCCAGTCTGGACATCCTGGTTCCTTCGTGTCCTCTCATTGACCCTCCTACCATCGGGTCCTGCTCTCCGTATTGAGGTACGAAGTCTCTCCAATTATAGGAGTTTGAGGGGTACCTTGGTCTTGGGTATATTGGTTCCATAGCCCCGCAATGAGGGTCGAAGAAGCCTTGGTCTTGATAACCGGATYTGACWTCCAKTGCACCTCCTGGGAWCGAACCAGGGTTATTCCACCCTTCTTGAGGGGGCCCCATATGACCATCGTATTCCACATAGCCCCTTCCTCCTGACCAATCTGGTCTGTCCGCCCAGGGGGGCATCAACGGAGGAGTGGGACCGTATCCAATTGGATGCGCCGGTTGTGCGGGACCTGGTTGTCCGTAATGCATTGTTTGTGCCATCGGTGCCATCGATCCCATCGGTGCCATAGGAGGTGGCACTATTGGTACTAACGGCGGTCTCATGCCTTGAGGGCCTCTGAATTGATTGTTTGTCCATTGTTGGTGCTGATTTCCTTCGGCTTGAGATGCACCTTCCATCCTTCTGGCTGCCTGTTGTTGCCTGTCTGACGGGGTTGTTCCTGTTCTCACCCCTGTATCTGCAGCCCCTGATCTTCTAGCCTCTTGTTGTTGATGTTGTTGAAACCTCTCTCTGTGTCCGCCCAATCGTTGACCCGATGCGCCTCTTCCTTCCTCCTGTCGTACTCTGGGGCACGAAGATTCCGTGTGAAAGTACCATTTGCATCTCCGACACCAGTCTGTGTACGGAGTAACAATGTCTACTTTCCACCTCGTTCCTTTTGGAGATTGAATCGTTAGGACGTCATCCACATTTGCTCTCGCTTCAGGTGGTAGATCCATTTTCACATTCATCAACTTCGATCTTGTGCTATCGTATTCAGGTGGGTGCATTAGAATCACTTCGCCGAACATTCCTCTCACTGCCGATTTTAGACAATAATAGGCTTCCAATGGTACTCTTAATGCAATAATCCAAAATTTTGATTCTGCTTCCTGTAGTCTGACCTCTTGCAGCTCTTGGAGAGGTATCCATGGTTTGAAGGACACTGAGTATTCTTTGGAGTTTTGTAGTTTAATTTTCAGTTCTTTCTGACGAATGAGCCACTCTGCCACCTCCTTTGCCCTGGCCACGTATGAGGCCACATTTGGTCCTTCAAACTTAACCCTACCTTGTTTTGAATCTGGGCCAAATAATCTCCTCGCAAACCAACCGTCCTCATACGCCCTAATTAGGTCTTCCTTGACTTGCCTTGATAGTTGACGCGCATCTCCTTGAAAACTCACAATTACCGTGTGCTCCTTCAGCCATGCCTCCTTTATGTCGTTTACCTAAGAGTTAACCACGAATCTCTTTCCCTGTTCGTCTTCTACCACCTCGCCCATTGGTATGTCATCCGGACATATTCCCTCCTCATAACACTTTTCCACCGATTCTCGTACCCTCGCTGCGTCTCTAGCTGTCGCCGATGGAATTGGGGGTCTATACGGCCCGCTCTCCCTGATTCTGCCATCACCTTCGCTTCAGGGCTTGCAGCTAGCACGTCACTGCTGAGTTGACTTTCTCTTTCTTACCCTCCTTGGTTTGACTGGTCCCTTACAGCACCTATCCTAACCTAATACTACCGGATTGCTTAGGTGGCACATGTACTGTCGCCCTCGTTGGGAGATCGTGTGCATGGCGATGGACCGCTTTCCGTCATGGCGGCGGAAATCGCGGCTGCCGTGGCTGACCCACGGCGACGGTCGTAACGGAGCGCTACGCTAATCGCCCGTTCGGACCGCTCCCACCACCCCCTTAAAGCTCAAAGCTCAATTTTTATTCACAGTTGGAGATGATGTACAATTTGTCTGAAAGAATACTTCTTGTTAATGAATTGCTTGTTATTGTACTGGTGGTATTTCGTTTCCTGGATGCCTTCTCCTGTTTCCTCTCCGTTTCCTAGTCTGAGGTGTTTGGGATCCGTTAAATGGGCGGTGTCACGGGTATGGAGATCGGGCGAGATTGAAAGGGGGAACGGTGGGTAGGTTGTGAGGAGGTTTGGTATTCACCAGTCGGTTGTGATGCGGCGTTGCGGGGGTTGGTGGCGGTGTTGGGCGTTGGGTGTTAGATGCTTTTGGGGGTTGGCTAGGCGTCTAGGTGGGTGTTGTTGTCGCTGGTGCTTGTGAGGTGCTCGCCTACTTTTGGATTTCAGTGTGGAAATGTGGGTGGGTGGAGAATCAGGCGTGGTGAGACTAAGTTACCATTCCTTGGTCTGGCCCATGGGTAAGCGGGAGTAAATTTCCTCTAGGTTGTTGGCGCTGGTTTCTTCTAGGCGTTGGCGCTGGTTTCTCCTATCCGTTTTGGTGCGGGAGGTCAGTTACTATTTTCAACTAGACGATAAGGCTACGTTCGTCGGTGTTGTGAGACCAGGACTTGTCCGAATCCAGTTCGAATTCGTGTTGATCGATCTTCTTCAACCGCAGTCCTCATGCCTCTTCTGTGCCTATCCCTCCTTGGTGTTTCTCGTGCATCTGTCCTTTCTATGCTAGTTCTATGTATCAAAACTGGCGTAACTGTTTCCCGAATAGGTATCCTCCTATGTTAGCGTTCTGTGGTGTTTGTGCCTCGTGGCTGCTTTCCTCTCCTTTCGGGTGCTTCGAGTTGTCTCCTCTTCTCGACTTCGCTTTGTCCTCCCGTTGTCTCGTGGACGCGATGGGGTCGGGGGAAGGGGTGTACAATTTCACCTTAGAAAGCCGCCAAAACACTCACTCCTTGCCAATTGTGATGATGGAACGTCGAATTGTTGGTCTGCTCCTTTTGTCCTCTCATTATGATTGCATGTTTGCCTTGAATGTCTGGTCTGCTTCCCTTCGTTTGGTACGGTTCTCTTGCCTCTCTTTCCTTTCCCTTCTTCGGACTCTTTGTCTTTTCCTATTGTTAGGTTATCCCCGCTTCCCTTTTTCTCTGGTGGGTCCTTGCTTCTTCTTCCTCCTTCTCTCGCTTTCCTTCTCTCTCTTGTCTTTATCTGTCCCTTTTCTGTCCTTAGTTGGGCCACGCCCGGAGGCGTGGCGCGACGTGGCTTCGCACACTCTCCCTACGCTCCTTGCCTTCCTTACGAATTTGCAGAGGTGGAGATGC